ATATATTTTTATTGATTTTTTACAGAGAGGAAGAGAGAGGGATAGAAACATCAATGAGAGAGAATCATTGATCAACTGCCTCTTGCACACCCCCCACTGGGGATGTGCCCACAAACAATATACATGTCCTTCACCGGAATCGAACCTGGGACCTTTCAGTCCGCAGGCCGATGCTCTATCCATTGAGCCAAACCAGTTTCAGCAGGAAGTGAGTCTTGAGCCCCACCTCGACATCCCATTCTCTGTATTTCTTCCCACACCTCCTCTCTGTGTCACATCTTGAACGGGCACTCTGTGGCCTAGCCACATGAACTGCAGGTGGGCTGGTAAAGTTGGTGTCCACAAAACTGTGAATCTGTGGCCAGAGGCCCTGTCTGGATCTCAGCAACCCCAAGCCTGCAATGTTCCCAGAGCCCCACGGGCGTGGCTAAGCAGGCCCAGCCACTCCTCAGAGCAGGTATTTTCCCAGGGCACCTCGGGCATTGCTAGGCAGCCTGCTGCCCCTCCCAGGGACTGCAATAGTCCCAACCCCAAAGGTGGCATCTGGTGCTGCCCACCCAGCTTCCCCTGGCCCAGATGGACCCTGACCCCAGGGGCAGGCCATTGTGCTGCCCTCCCCACCTGTGTATGCAAATTTACTCATCTTTGATGGATTAATTTGCATATTTGCTCTGATTGGCTGGTGGGCATAGCAGTGTGAAGGTTAATTTACATGTTTCTCTTTTATTAGTGTAGATATTTATAGTAGTTTATTGTAAATTGATAACAACTTAGGTTTGAATAATTAAAGCTCTACAGTTTTAATCCCCTCCAACATTTTATAGTTTTAGCTGCCATTTCACAGCTGTTTTTATATTACCAAAATTACATTTGATATGAACTGTTTATTTTCTTCACTGTATACACTATTAGCTTTGTTTCATATAAATATACTAATGGCCTGGTGCACATTGAAAAGAAATTAAGAAGAAATCTTTTAATATTGCTATTCACCCTTTATAATAAAAATGTCAAATTCATGATTTATGACAAATTGAAACACATGTGCGATTGGTGCCAGTAAGAGCTTTATATGTATCACACATGCGAGAGTCAACTTAGCCTTTTATATATGTAGAATAAACTTGCTTAATTAGACCTGTTTTCTGATTTAGCTAAACTTTTCCAGCCCAGGGAAGCACCCCAACTTCTCTTTCAGGTAATTGTTAGCAACAAAGCAGTAAATATCAACACGAATCAGATTATTATTGTAGATCACGCAGAGAGAACAAATGGTAAGATATTTAACATATTTAACTGCAACAGTGTTTGACTATATTCTGTGCAGTGAGAAAACCAGAAGTCGTTTTCCAGGTCCACCATTTATTACTTCTTTTCAGTCAGGTCAAGTTTCTAAGCTTTCTAAATCTTTGTTTTCCAGCTAATGAAAAGAAAATAGGATTCCACCAAGTCTCCTATCTACCTACTGCAGGACTTCTGTGAGGATCAAATGAGATAAGGCATGGGAAAATGCTTCACAGACATTTGATTAAAGTGTAAAATGTTTCCACCTATGTTCCAAGGAGGTTAGTTGCTAAGGAGAGGAAGCCAGGCATTGCTATGTCATTATCCAGAATCCACAGTGACCATTCCTGGGCTGGGCGGGGCTATGGGCTGCATTTTGTAACATAGGGTCTCTGCAACATCAGCCGTGATTTGGTGGACTGTTGCTCTGGGGTGGTGGCAGGGCCTGTATAGCACTTGGGGAAGCCCAGTGTTGCTTTTTAAGCACCAGGTCTGCAGTGCCATTTTCCTGAGCGCATCATGGCAGCTCCTGAATTGGGTGGGGCAGGGTTTCGGGGAATCACCAGGGCCTAACAAACAGCAATGGCTGCCAGTCAGCCATCTCTGTGTCTCTACGTTTCTGCATCCCCATGTCCCATGCCCCAGCACAGTAAATGATTCCTGTGAGCACCTCTGAGAGAAAGCCACCTTTTCCAACCCAATGCCAGACAGTCCAGTTTTTCCCCATAGAACTTTGGATCCCCAGTCTTGCTGGAAACTGGAGTTCAGAGCAGTTGGGAGCTTGATTCTCCCTTCCCATTGGAAAAACAAGCACACTCAGTCACCAGCCCAATTCGCACACCTCCATACCTCTGCTTTTCTGCATCTCTGCACCTCCTGCCCAGACTCAATGTGCTTTTTTCTTTCCTTCTAGTTGAAGAACTTCTACTCAGCCAGCTTTACTATGGTTCTGGGTGATAGTTGTTTTGTCTTTTAGTTGTACTTTTGGTGTGGTTGTGAGAGGCAGCACGTACAGGTGTATACCTTATGCCACCATCTTGATTTTTCTATGTTGGGATTGTTTTTTTGTTTTAATATATTTTATTGATTTTTTACAGAGAGGAAAGGAGAGGGATAGAGAGCTAGAAACATCGATGAGAAACATCGACCAGCTGCCTCCTGCATACGCCCTACCGGGGATGTGCCCAGAACCAATGTACATGCCCTTGACCAGAATCGAACCTTGGACCTTCAGTCCGCAGGCCAACACTCTATCCACTGAGCCAAACCAGTTTCAGCATAAGTTGGGAGTGTTTTGATTACTGATTCAAATTCTTTAGTAGTTATTAACTTGTTCAGATTTTGTTTCTTCCTCATTCAGACTTGGAAAATTGTATGGTTCTAGGAATTTGTTTCAGGGGTTGTCCAATTTGTTGGTATGTTATTGTTCATAGTATATTCTTATAATCCTTTGTCTTTCTGTGGTTTCTGCTATCATTCCTTTTTAAAATTCATTGTTGAAAGTATTTGTTGTCCCCTTTTATCTCCAGTGAACCCCTTCACCCCATATTCACCTCACCCTCAGATCCTGTTGTCTGTGTCTATGGGTTATGCATATAAGTTATTTGGTTAAGCCAAAACCGGTTTGGCTCAGTGGATAGAGCATCGGTCTGTGGACTGAAAGGTCCCGGGTTCGATTCCGGTCAAGGGCACGTACCTTGGTTGCGGGCACATCCCCGGCGGGGAGGGGAGGGGTGTGTGTAAGAGGCAGCTGGTTGATGTTTCTCTCTTGATGTTTCTAACTCTCTATCCCTCTCAATTCCTCTCTGTGTAAAATCAATAAAATATATATTTTTTAAAAAAGTTATTTGGTTAATCTCTTCCTGTCATTCCTCACTGCCCCCCTTCCCTCTTAGATTCACCGGGCTGTTCCATGTCTCTGGACCTGTTTTGTTCATCACTATATTCATTAGATTCCATGTATACCATAAGTGAGATCATGTGATACTTATCTTTCTCTAACTGCTTATTCCGCTTAACATCTGCTATCATTTCTATTTCATTTCTGATTTTATTTGGGCCCTCTTTTTTTCTTGACAAATCTGGATAAAGTTTTATCAATTTTGGTTATCTTATCAAAGAACCAGCTCTTGGTTTCATTGATTTTTTTCTATTGTTGGGTTGTTGCTTTTTAGACTCTTTGTTCTGATCTTTATTTCCTTCTTTCTATCACTTTAGACTTTATTTTTATAGTTCCCTTAAGCATTAGATTATTCACTAGGTATTTTTCTTGTTTCTAGAAGAAGGCCTATATTGCTTCAAATTTCACCTAGAGGGCTGATTTAGTAGGTCTGGGAGGGCTTGAAGATCTGCATTTCTAATAAATTCCCAGAGAGGCTGATGCTGCTGATGTGGGGCTCACTCTTTGAGAACCACTACCCTAAGGCATCGTTGTATGAAACACTTTAAATTCTCTCCTATGCACCTAGAACAATTAACTACCAACCTAGGGAGAATTGTGAAAAATAGGTAAAAGAGGCCATGAAAGCTTCAGGACTCACTCTGTCTCTTTGGCTCCAAGACTTTGTTCAGGTGTCAACTCCTTAATGAGAGCTACCCCGATGACCCCACTTGTCATTGTAATCTGTCCCCATCTCCATCTTCCCAACTCCTCTTGCTTTGACCTCCTTCTCTCTCTCTCCCATAGCACTTAGGACCGAACATACTGTGCTTTACTTACTTGTTTATGGTTTACTGTCTCTCCCCTCCACCCCCCCCCCCCCCCCAAATTAGACTGTAAAGTCTAAAATGCAGGGATTTTTGTTTTTTATTCCACGGGCTGAACAGACTTTTTTTTTTTTTTTTTTTTTAATATAAATGAAACATGCTAATTGGATCCTTTAGTTTCCTCAGCAGAATATAAACCCACTTTAAAATATATACTAACATAACTACACTTATTCATAGGAAGAGAGCATAGTGGGAAAAACAGACTTTTGAGATCAGGAACACCTAGGTTCAGAAGTTAGCTTCACTATTTCCTGGATGATTTGTACACAAGGTTCATGTCACATTTCTAGGGCTCAGTGTCTGTCTTTACTTTTAAACTTGTGATAACATTGATGATTGTTAGAATTAGACCAATGTATACAAAATATCTAGCGAAGTCTTGTCACTAAAGAAGTGCATATTGCATCCACTTCCCCTCTAGCTCACATTTCACTTAAAGTACAAACTACTTTAAAGCCAGTCTGTTAATTTTAGATAGAATCCTATCTAAATGCACATTTTTTAAAAATAAGAATCTCCAAGGACTTTAGGCAGGACTCTATTCTTATACATTAAAACGTTTGCATAATCTTTCTATAACTGTATCTTCAGATGAAAAGTCTTCCAACAATATTAAAAATGTGGAATAATGATAATATTTTGCTGATACTGAGAAAGTATTTCAAGTTCAATTCCCACAAAGTATTAAAATTTCCCCTGATCATGTTCAGCCATAAATGTGTTTCTGGACAACAGGCTGAGTTTCCTAGTAGCCCTTCTAAATGGGACTAAAAATTAACCTTACAAGTATTTTAGAGAAAGAAATTTTTATAAATGTGGATATCCTATCTACCTGCTTTAGCTATAAATGTCCTGCATGAGAACATAGCAACAATGACCACATTCACGACTATGATGAGATACATATATGATAGTCATACATTTATGCTGCACATTCATACATGACCTGATATTGCTGAAATAGTCTTTATTTCTGAACATTCCAAAACAGCAGTGTACACAGTAACAAATATTAAGTCATATACCATAAGAAAAGCATTCATTAGTGCAAATGGGTTTTGTAAAAGGTCTATCAAAAAGATTTATTTGCTTTAAAATGCATTCATTTCCAGAAGCATTGTTAATAAAACATTACAGTTTCATCCTCTGTAATAAAGTATTGAAAATTGGTGGTGGTATAGTAGCAAACATTGCCGGTACTAAGTGCAATGAGCTTGTGATGCCTTTATAAATATGAAACCCATGTGTGACAATAAATTAACAATGAAAAAGACAAGACCATTTAACTTGCGTCTGGCTACCTCCTTGCAATGCTTCAGTTTACACAGTGCTCATTCAACACAAAATTATGTCTCTGAAACTGTTTGGTGGATTTTTGCTGATATATCCTCAGAGTTAAAAAAATAGTACCTTACCACAAAAATATTTTTATGGCACAAAATTTAAGTTGTTCCATAGTGGTTCACGTAGGTGTAAAAAGAAATAGGCACAAAAAATAAAATTCCTGTAAACTATAAAAAAGTAAATTTCAAAGGATACATTGATCGAACATATTTGTAAATATGTAATGTATTAAAACACAGAACATGTAATGGGAAGATGTTTAGAACACGTAAGTAAATTGAACAAGTTATTTTAAAAAACTCATATGACAAAGAAAGAGTTAATGATATACCTCAATTCTCTCAAAAAGGTACGTAGCAGTTCTACAAAAACTTTCTAGATCTAAGTGTCGCAATACTGCAACCATGGATTTGAGAATGCTGCAGTATCTCAGGCAAATATTTAAGTGCAATAATTAGTCTCTGGTGATTGGTTCATTGAAAAACAATGCAGTTAAGTATGTTAAGATGCAAAAGGGAAAGAAATTTCTGACATCCACTGTTACCCAGCCAGCTAGGTAATACAACCCTCATTTCCACTTCTTCCCCAATTCTTCAAGGGCACATAAAACTGCGTCAGTAGCAACCATCTCTCCAGTTTCCGTCCCTCAGAGTGCTGAGTGAAGACAGAGGCTTTGGAGGCTGAAGGAAGCTATAAAGGTAAGAAAAAGAAAACAGAGTGTTAATAACCCTACAGGTCAAGAAGCTTCCTTTCATCTGCTCTTCCAACAGTGACTGCCTGTCGGCCCTTCCCCAAGTGAGCCTTGTGTTCTACACTGTGGAGCTTTGCAACATGCACATCTGCTAGGGACCCAGTGATCACCACTGTGCTACGTACTCTGTGTGGGCATGAGTGAAAACTGATCCATACCCTTAATGTATAAAACATACTTTAATCAGAAATAAAAAGGTAAACTCAATAGAAAAATGGCCCCCAAACAGTTACTTAATTGACAAAAACAGCAAATTAACAAAATTTTAAAAGTATGTTTTTATTGACTTTTTAAAAAATATATATTTTATTGACTTTTTACAGAGAAGAAGGAAGAAGGGTAGAGAGTTAGAAACATCAATCAGCTGTCTCTTGTACACTCCTCACTGGGAATGTGCCCACAACCAAGGTACATGCCCTTGACTGGAATCAAACCTGGGACCTTTCAATCTGCAGGCCGATGCTCTATCCACTGAGGCAAATCAGTTGAGGCTTTTATGACTTTTTATAGAGTGAGGGAGAGGGAGAAAGAAACATAGATGGAGTACCTCCCATATGCACCCCAATCAGGGACCCACAACCTGGGAATCAAACCCAAGACCTTTTGGTGCATGAAATAACATTAAACCCAACAGAGCCACATTGGCCAGAGCAAAACATGAAGAAATTTTAAACCTTATGGATAATCAAACATTTGCCTATTACGTAGATTGGCAAAGAATTCCCAGTGTTTTCCAGTTTTGGCAAACAGACCCTCACAAATAATCTGGTATGACATCCTTTCCAGGAGGTTAGGTTAGAGACAAACGGATGGTCCTATTTATCTCTAGACAGTATGTGTCAAATAACCTATGTACGTTCTACTCAGCCATAAGCACAACATAGCTCTGCACTTACTGGGGGAGAATATTTAACAAATATACACCAAAGTTATTTCTATCTGGGTAGTAGGATTCTAAATCAGCCTTTATTTTCTGTGTTTTTCAATAGTTTCTAAATTTGTTTCTGACCTGAGCACCTATTACTTCTAATCAGAAAATAAAAAAGCAAAACTATTTATACATACCAGTGCATAAAGAAAAATTACTTGTTTCCACATCCCTTTCAACCTTTTACTGACTCCCTCCCTCTCCTCCTTCATATATTCGTATAAGAGTTGTCTAGCCCTAACCAGTTTGGCTCAGTGGGTAGAGCTTTGGCCTGCAGACTCAAGGGTCCCAGGTTCAATTCCGGTGAAGGGCATGTACCTTGGTTGTGGGCACATCTCCCGTGGGGTGTGTGCAGAGGCAGCTGATTTATGTTTTTCTCTCATCAATGTTTCTAGCTGTTTATCCCTTTCCCTTCCTCTCTGTAAAAAATCAATAAAATAAAAAAATTACAAAACGAGTTGTCTACAGTTACTGCCTACATTGTTTCATTCCAAGCTCTCTTCAACCCACTTTTATAGAATTTTTAAAAATATATATTTTATTGATTTTTTACAGAGAGGAAGAGAGCGGGATAGAGAGTTAGAAACATCGATGAGAGAGTCATCGACCAGCTGCCTCTTGCACAACCCCTACTGAGGATGTGCCCGCAACCAAGGTATATGCCCTTGACCGGAATCGAACCCGGGACCCTTCAGTCTGCAGGCCAATGCTCTATCCACTGAGCCAAATTGGTTTCGGTTATAGAATTTTTTTAACCATAAAACATTCTAGGACAGTGGTTCTCAAACTTTCTAATGCCACGGCCCTTTAATACAGTTCCTCATGTTGTGGGTTCATGTTGTGGTTTCAATAGCAGCGGTTCTCAACCTGTGGGTCAAGACCCACTAGCAGGTTGAGAACCACTAGCAGGGGCAGCTAAGACCATTGGAAAACACAGATATTTACATTACAATTCATAACAGTAGCAAAATTACAGTTATGAAGTAGCAACAAAAATAATGTTATGGTTGGGGGTCACCACAACGTGAGGAATGTATTAAAGGGTCTCTGCATTAGAAAGTTTGAGAACCACTGATCTAGGATATCTAAGTTCAAGAAGGGTACCTCATGACTATGAGCTCATCTAAAATGTGTCCTGCAAGTAATCTAGAATTGTGGAGTGGGAGGACAATTACCTGGACCACAATGAACTTACACAAGCTAACAAAATCCACTAATTATCACTAAGATATTTTTAAACCATGCATCTGATGGAAGTTATATATGTGCAAATGCATGTATGCCTTACACATTTGGGCTCATTTTGATATAAAAATGGATTCATAAAACATTTGCAATCCTTTTCTGTGCTGGACACAACTGCTTGGCATTAGGGCCATATAGCAGTGAAGCAAAGATCAACTACTCCCTTTCAGGAAGCCTGCATTCTAGTGAGGAGAGTCAGACCACATTATAAACTAACTAGTGACCTGGTGCACAAAATTCATGCACATTAAAAGGGGATTAGAGGAAATAATTTAATATTGCCATTTGCCCTTTTTCTATAATAGAAATGTAAGAAAATTAGTAAAATGTATATATGAAAACCTTCCTTCTGTCAGAATCTGGGGCTCACTATGGGAGCCAGAGTCAAGTCCCTGCCCACACACACGCACCTCAAAATTGAGTGAGACCCAGATATGACTGGTCCCACACATTGGGCTAGATCCAGACCTAGCCAGAGCCAGTCCCACCCTTGTCAAGCCCTGCTGGGCAGGGTGTGCAGCCTCAGGTCCCCTGGCCCAGTGCTGGGGCAGGGGGCATGTCATGAGGTCCCCTGTCAAGCCCTGCCAGGCACGGGGTGCAGTCTGAGGTCCCCCAGCATGGTGCCAAGGTGGGGAACGTGGCCTGAAGTCCCCTGTCAAGCTCCACCTGGTGGGGGAGCGGCCTGGGTCTCCTAATCCCGTGATTGGCAAACTGTGGCTCTTGAGCCACATGCAGCTCTTTGGGCCCTTGAGTGTGGCTCTTCCACAAAATACCACAACCTGGGCGAGTCTATTTTGAAGAAGTGGCGTTAGAAGAAGTTTAAGTTTAAAAAATTTGGCTCTCAAAAGAAATTTCAATTGTTGTACTGTTGATATTTGGCTCTGTTGACTAATGAGTTTGCCCATTACTGCCCTAGCCCAGCACCAGTACGGAAAGCACACCTTAAGATCCCCTGTCAAGTCCTACCTGGTGGGGGACACGGCTTGAGGTCCCCCCGCCTGGCGCTGGGGTGGGGGAACAGCCTGAGGTCTCCTAGTCCAACACCAGGACAGGAAGTGCACCTTAAGGTCCCCTGTCAAGTCTCATGGGGATGGGGGGGGGGGGGGGGGGGGGGGGGGGTAAGGGCATAGCCTCAGGTCCCTGCTGATTGCTCCTTAAGGATCCTTATGGGAACTTGGTCTCAGCTGTGGGTGTAGCCATTTTGTGACTGAATGATGGTCAATTAGCATATTCCCTCTTTAATAGATAGGATAAGTGGAATAGAAGAAGAAGGGAGAGAGAGGGAGGCCCTGCAAATAACCTGGGGGAACGAAAATGCCAAGAGTTCTGAATGTAGAATTTTCTTGATAAATTAAAGCAAACAGGGCATCAGGTTGAAGTGTTGAGGGAGGAAGGAAGAAGCTGAGATCAGAGCGAGGAAGACCTGACCACACAGGGACACCCACACCTATTACTTCCCAGAGGAAGAGGGACACAAGTCAGGCCAAAGAGGTAGCCTGACTTCTGAGACCACAGAAAAGGCAAGGTGCCAGGAGCACCTGCTAATTTAAAGCTGCAAACGAAGTAACATAGATCAGGGAACAAAGACTCTTACCTTCTGACAGGTTGTGCAATTTTGCTTCGAGGCAGGTTACTCCCATTTATTGCCAGTGAAGGTCTTGGAAGTGCACTGCGGCCCATTATCCCAGAAGTGGTAGCTTTGTTTGGTGTGGGGATTCCCGTGTTGGAATATAATTGTAAGCCATTGGATAAAGGCGTGTTACTGCTGCCTTGAACAGTTGGGCTCACGTAGGCTGTGGCTTTAAGAGGCTGTCGGACAGACACAGGGAAATGACCCACGCTGTGGATTCTGTGTTGAAGCTGTCCTGGTGAAGGAACTAGAAGAGAAAATGATGTTCATATGAGACAACATTTATATCACTATCCAACTTAAGAAATATATTTTTTAAAAGCCTATACTGTCTGAAAGAAATATGTATATATAAAATGGAATTTTTAATATATTATATATAATTGTATTGCATTATACAATGTTGTCAATTGCCAGAAGACTCGGTTAGTATTGGAAAATTCAATTGTTGATTTTTTAGAGAAACATCGCTTTGTTGTTCCACTTATTTATCCATTCATTGGTTGATTCTTGTATGTGTCCTGACCAAAGATCAAGCCTGGAACTAAGCTACCCAGCCGGGGCTAGAAACCTCCAATTCTTAATAAGAAAGCAACATTTTTGAGCGCCTAACTGTATTATATTACTACTAGAGGCCTGGTGCACAAAATCTGTGAATGGGTAGGGTACCTAGGCCTGGCCGGTGATGGAGGCCAATCGGGACCTTTTGGCTGCTACCAGGGCCTCCCTTCCCTGGCTGTTAGCTGGGACCTCCCTTCCTTCCTCGCTGCCCCCTGGTGGTCAGTGCATGTCACAGCGAGCGATAGAACTCCTATTCTCCTAGTCGAACTCCCAAGGGGACATTTTGCATATTAGCCTTTTACATATATCAATATAAACTAACATATTATTATATTCTAAGAATAACCTCCTTTTCTTTAACAATTTTGAGTTCTCCCAGGAAAATTTCTTCCTTGCTTGAAAGACATTAGAATTTCTTGATAGTTACTTTGAGGATTTCATGAAAATACAAGGGACAATTTAGATGTTATTATAGAAAGGAAGACAGAGGTGATGTCAGTAAGTATAAAGTTCAGCTTATTACATACAGATAGACTTTCTAAACAGTTTTCATCATGACATTTAAGGTTTGTGGGGAGAATAAATGATGTACTCTACATGAAGCCTTACAAGGCACCTGGCATGTCGTAACCACTCAGCGAGTGCTAGCTATTATTAGCTTGATAAGGACAGCAAAATCTATAAAATGAAAAACCTCTCAGAGCAAGACTCTTAAAAGCTTCACTAATGTATTGGCCCAATAGTGCATATCATTTCACATTAAGAAACTGAACTGTTTGGCAGAAATTTTTAAATTTTATAATTCTTTTCTCCAAGGGAAAACTGAAGCACAAACTTAACAGAAATCTATGCACCCAACTCAGCCTGTTGTTTGCCAACTTCTCCAGCTTTTGCTGCCTCATACTTACCATTCAGTTAAACAGGGACATGCCCTATTTTCTAAAACATTTTAGCTGATTTTGATCTTTAGCATAGAATATACAATAAATATCTTTTTGAAATAAAAATAGGAGGAAGGCAAAAAGAAAATGTAAGTTTTATTTAATACTAGAGGCCCAGTGCACGAAATTCATGCATGGGGAGAGAAGGGGATCTCTCAGCCCAACCTGTACCCTCTTGAAATACAGGACCCCTCAGGGCATGTCTGACTGCCAGTTTAGGTCTGATCCCTCCTAAATTGGCAGTTGGACATCCCTCTCACAATCCAGGACTGCTGGCTCCTAGCTGCTCACCTGCCTGCCTGCCTGCCTGCCTGATTGCCCCTAACCACTCTGCCTACCTGTCTGATCGCCCCTAACCATTCGCTTGTCTGCCTGATTGCCCCTAACTGCTCGCCTGCCCGCCTGATCACCCCTAACCACCTCTGCCTCGGCCCCTATGGCTTCGCCGGAAGGACATTCGAAATGAAGTCTGGAAGGTCATTTGGCTGACCAGTCTAATTAGCATAATATGCTTTTATTATTATAGATCTCTTGAAAATATTTTCTTAAATTAGTTTTTCTCAAGTATATAGTAAGTGAATTCTATATCCAGGAATGCTGATGTATGTGTATAGTAGTCAAATTCAACAAAAAATAAGGCCTATGTAAAATTCTGCTATAGTTTTATTCCCATCAAGTTTTTGGGACACAGTAATCTTTTGTTGGTTGACAAATCATCTCCAGGCCTCCAGCTTTGGGCATATCAATAAGACTACTGAGTCTGCTTCCCAGGGGTCAGACTTAATTCCAATGACCTATATAGACCATATGAGCAGGAATGGGGGTGTGGGCACCTAGAACCATCACATCCCCACAAAATTAAAAATATGAACACCAGACTAAACATTCATTACTCTGTTGCTTAATAAAACATAAAATGATAGACTGTATAAGATGAAATGAAGTAGACAAATAATAAAACTTCAATTGGGAGAGGGAAGCTGTGAGGTAGTGAAAAACAACACCAAAGTAACAGCTAGATATAATGTTCTTCAGAGTGAAGGTATCAAGTAGACAGAAAAAGACAGATCTATAAAGAAAACAGATTTTGTGTGAGAAGTACACCATTTAGTATAAAATTAATCACCATTTAGTGCTTCTGCTGCTATCCTTGGATATGAAGGATTACATATAATTTACTATGTAATTGGTATCATAAGCACTGATAAAAATACTACTTAATTTTAATGGTGGGGGGAAAAGTTACAAGACAAGGAGAAAACTGTTTCTGAGAGGAAAAACAAATGGAAGAGTAAGGCATTTGCTTAACGGTGTTATGACTAACTAAAAATTACAAAAGTTAAGAATTGATATACTTACTACAAGACTGTATTCTTGAAAGTCCATTTCCAGCTCCGTGCAAGCTTGAGTCAAAGCTCTGACTATTTCGCACGGTGACTGGAGAACTCACATTGCTACTCACACCCGTTGTGCTTGGCATCCGAGCTAGATTAGGCATACTTCTTCGGAGCTTGTCTAGAAGAGAAAAATTTTTTACCGAGTTAAAAATCACAAACGTAATGCCTACTAAATACTAGTTTTCATATAAATCATGTTTTGTTCAAAAATAAAGTTATTATGTTCATTATGAGTTATAAAAAGCTAATGGAATTAACCTTCTGTATAGGAATACACACTCAACGTCTCCAGAAAGGTTGTACCAAATAGACTGCTAAAAGAACATGAGTTCTATAAAAAGTAGGGATTAGTCAAGCCCTGGATGGTTTGGCTCAGTGGATACAGTGTTGGCCTGCAGACTCCTGGAGCTTCTGGGGTTCGATTCCAGTCACATGCTGAGGATGCTGACTTGATTCCCAGTGGGGAGTGTGCAGGAGGCAGCTGATCAATAATTCTCTCTCATCATTGATGTTTCTGTCTCCCCTTCTCTCTTCCTCCCTAAAATAAATTTTTAAAAAAGTAGGGATTATTCAATTATATATTTATTCACATACATTAATTGAATAAAACTGTATTAAAGTGAGGTTAGAAAATAATCTTATAGCCATTTAGCTTTAAAAACATACTAAAATTTTTTAAAAAATATATTTCACTGATTTTTTACGGAGAGGAAGGGAGAGGGATAGAGAGTTAGAAACATCGATGAGAGAGAAACATCAACCAGCTGCCTCCTGCACACCCCTTATCAGGGATGTGTCCACAACCAAGGTACATGCCCTTGACGGGAATCGAACCAGGACCCCTCAGTCCGCAGACCGACACTCTACCCACTGAGCCAAACTGATTTTGGCAATACTAGAAAATGTTAATGAAAACCTAGAAGAGTGAAAACCAGCACTGGATCCTTTGCTAGCATATCAAAATAGAAATTACTAAAATAGAATCTTGAGATGTTTTGAGAAATCCACTGATCACATCAACATGACCATATAACTTCTAAAAAGTTTTAATTATCAGGAGTATGACACCAAACCTTTGAAGGCTTTAAAAAGAACATGCTTCCATTTCTTCCTCCTTAGTATGTACAGCTATTACTACTTAGGGGGAGCAGAGTCAGGCACAGCTCTCAGTGTTGCTGAGAAGTTTCAAGACTGCAACTCTACAAGTTAGTTTTCTCTTTAATAATACCTCCTGCCCTCCCCCCCAAAAAAAACAACCACCACCCACTAAAATACATATATCAGGTCACTTGAGATTAGAAAAGAAAGGATGCACTATATCATAAAAGCATAATGTGAAAATCGACTGAATGGTGGGCAGGGCCGGCAAGCAGGTGGCACCAGGCCAGCCAAGGCATGTGCCAGCGAGCAGAGGAAGGGAATGGTGATTGGGGGTGGGGGAGGGCTGTGTCCAGTGGGAGCGGGGAGAGGCAATGGGGAGAGCCAGCACCATCCCCTATCGGCCTGTCCTGTTGCCTCCTGCAGAGGGAGGCCAGACTGTGACTTAGGCCCGCTGCCCAGTAGGACTTCCAGATTGTCAGATGTGCAGGTTGGGCTGAGGGAATCTCCTTCTCCTCCCCACCAACCCCCCCACATAAATTTTTGTGCACTGGGCCTTTAGTTTTTAAATGCTAAGCCAAAACTCATTAAGAAAAAAACTGGATTCATTTCTTTCTGCTTCACACAGGGCCTTTCCACATAACTTAGATCTGTTGATTGTATGCCCTCTCTGGAAAGTCACTTAATCCAGAAATTTGGAGAATCTCCTAAAATTCACCTCCCTTCTTCACCCTTGATTCCAAGTCCTCAAAAACCTGCCTCATAAATATTTATTGAATCTTCATTACTACCTTGTTTCCCCGAAAACAAGACACCCTCCGAAAATAAGACCTAGCGCATGGAAAGATAAGACATCCCCTGAAAATAAGACCTAATGCAACTTTGGGAGAAAAAATTAATATAAGACACTGTCTTATTTTTGGGGAAACAGGGTATCACCTGGTTTGGACCTCATCACTGTTTTTGTTTTTTGTTTTTTTAATCCTCACTGGAAGATATGGTTTTTGAACATATTAACGACTAGCATGAAAAAGTGAGTCTCTATCAATACAAGATTAAATTACTTTGACTAAGCAGCAGAGAATTACAGGAAAATAATTATACGTTATTATTTAGAAAATGAGTTGAGTTTCATGTTTATTAATTTTCCAAGTCTTTACTATAAAAGTTTTGATATGTGTGTGTGTGTGCGCATATATATATATATATATTATATATATATATATATATATATAGTTGTAAAGTAGTATCAAAAACATCTGTATGTTTTTCATCTAGACATACTAGTTTTCATTTTGCCACATTTACTAGTAATTCTTCTCGATATAATATGTATATACTAGTGGCCTGGTGCATAAAATTCATGATGGAATGGGATGGTCTTCAGCCTGGCCTGCACCCTCTCCAATCTGGGACCCATCAAAGGATGTCCTATTGGCGATTTACAGGGATCGGGCCTAAACTGGGAGTCAGACATCCCTCTCACAATCCGGGACTACTGGCTCCTAACCGCTCACCTGCCTGCCTTCCTGATTGCCCCTAACCACTCTACCTGCTAGCCTGCTCACCCTCAATTGTCCCCTCTGCTGGCCTGCTTGCTACTAACTGCCCACCCTGCTGGCCTGCTCACCCCCACCTTCCCTTTCCACTGACCTGCTCACCACCAACTGCCCCCCTGCTGGCCTGCTCACTCCAAACTGCTCCCCTCCCCCCATGTTGTCCTGATCACCTCCAACTGACCCCCACTGATGGCCTGCTCACCCCCAACTGGCCCCCCTGCTGGTCTGCTTATCCCCAATGGCCCCTACCGTCCCATCCTGGCCTGATCACCCCTGGCGACCAAGATCCCAGCCTCTCCTTTTTTTCTTTTTCTTTCAGCATTTCCCTTAACAGAGGCCAGGGTTGGATGGAAGCAAGTATCTAAGATATATTAATCTTCATAATTGAAACTTTGTAGCCTTGAGAGGAGGCCAGGAATGGCTAGGGCAGGCAGGAAGCTTGGCTTCCTCCATCACCAGGGGCAACCCAAGCCTCCTGCTTGCTCCAGTTCCATGGTGGCTGCTATCTTGGTTGGGTTAATTTGCATACTAGCTCCTGATTGGCTGGTGAGTGTGGCTTGGCATACTAGAGTATTGGTTAATTTGCATGTTTTTCTTTTATTAGTGGATTGTTTGCTACTGTTTAGCAACATAAAAGCTGCATACCTCCTGACACTTTAACCCTAAATGTTCTCTTGTTTTCATATGACACTGTGACTTTCATTAAGCACATAGTATACATTGTGTTCCTGATATTATGGCTTTAATAAATGAGTCACTATGACTGTTTAGCTATCAATGTTTATTTTAAATTTGAAATCTGGAGGTACTCAGGTAATTTGAAATCTAGGTAAGACCTAATAAGAAAGTTCTATAGAATCACAATACTGTCATGACATGTAAAAAATTGATAATCTATACTAATAAAAGAGTAATATGCTAATTCGACCAGGAAACCTTCCGAAGACCTTCCGAACATCCTTCTGGACAAAGTCAGGGGCTTGGCCAGCCTGCAAACCACCCACAAATAGTCCTCAGCTCCTCACTCATGCTGGCCACACCCCCCAGCAAAGGACCCTCACTCCGATTGGGATATGGCCAGCCTACAAACTGCCCTAGACCCCTCACCCAGGCTGGCCCTCAAGTGGACCCCCACCCTGATCTGGGACCCTCTTCAGGGCAGACCAGCCAGCCATCACCATGCACCAGGCCTCTATCTATACTAATAAAAGGAAAATATATTAATTAGACCAGGAGACCTTACAGAGGTCCTTCCAAAGCCATGGTGGCAGGGCCAATGCAGAAGTGGTTAGGGGCGATCAGGCCAGGAGAGGAGGGCAGTTGGGGGTGATCAGGCTGGGGGGGGGGGGGGGGGCGGGGAGTTGAGGATGAACTAGCTGGCAGACAGTGTGATCAAGCAGGCAGGCAGGTAAGCAGTTAGGAGTCAGTGGTCCCAGGTTGTGAGAGGGATGTCCCCTGAGAGGTCCCAGATTGGAGAGGGTGCAGGCTAGCCTGAGGAACATCCCGTCACTCTATGCACAAGTTTTGTGCACCACGCACTAGTAGCTTATAATAATCCATACACAATAATTTCCAGGCCTCTCAAGAATGTCTTCCATAATCTTTTCTTCCTAAACCAGTGGTCGGCAAACTCATTAGTCAACAGAATGACAAACCGCAGCTTGCAAGTCACGTTTGCCAACCACTGTCCTAAACCACACAATCCAATCAAGGCTCACACATTAGACTTGTTCCTATGCCTGTTAGCTCTGTTAATACAGGAGTATCAATCTTTAAAACCTATCTTTACTTACTTATCAAGTCAGTTTCACAAAGACTTAAATCTGAAATACTCTTAAAAATAAAGGCTGTCAAGTGTAAATATTTAAAACATTACTCTTTTGGAACTAATCTGTGATCTCCAAGTTGTCTGGGACCATCTGGAAATGAAGGTACCTTTTCCTGTCAAACAATGTGGAGTATATTAGTGGCCATGTTTACTTTTGTTACTGACTGATAGGGACCCTTTGCCTGCACACATCAAAGTCCAATAAAATATGAACAAGAGATGCAGCCAAGAAAATAAGAATTTGCACTGGCCGGGTAGCTCAGTTGGTTAGAGCATTGTCTCCATATGCCAACCTGCAGGTTCAATCCTTGGTAAGGAGACTTATAAGAATCAACCGTTTCATATCTGGTATTGAGATCCCTCCTACTCTGATCTTTCTCAGGATTGCTGCAGCTATTCAGGGTCATATTTTTATTCCAGATGAATTTTTGGAGAGTTAATTCTAGGTCTGTGAAATATGCCATTGGTATTGCAATGGGAATTGCATTGAATCTATAGATTGCTTTGGGTAGTATGGACATTTTAATGATGTTGATTCTACCAATCCATGAACACGGTATGTTCTTTCATTTGTTTATGTCTTCTTCTATCTCTTTTCTCAGTGTCCTATAGTTTTCCGAGTATAGATCTTTTATCTCCTTAGTTAAGTTTATTCCTAGGTATCTTAATTTTTTTGGTGCAATGGTAAATGGGGTTTTTTAAATCTTTCTGTAAGTTCACTATTGGTGTATAAAATGTCATAGATTTCTTGGCATTAAATTTGTATCCTGCTACATTGCTGAATTCATTGCTTAAATCTAATAATTTATGGAGTCTTTAGGGTTTTCTATATACTGTATCATGTTATCTGCAAATATTAAAAAACTGTGGTACATCTATATAATGGAATACTATGCTGCTGTAAAAACGAAGAAATTCTTACCATTTGCAATATCATGGATGGAACTGGAGAGCATTATGCTAAGTGAAATAAGCCAGTCAGAGAAAGATAAATATCACGTGATCTCATTTGTGGAATATAATGAACAACATAAACTGATGAACAAAAGCAGATTCAGAGACAGAGAAGCATTGATCAGACCATCAAACCTCAGAGGGAAGGTAGGGAAGGGTGGGGGTAAAGAGGAGAGATCAACCCTTATGCATGCATGTAAGCCTAACCAATGGACACAGACACCAGGGGATTAGGGCATCAATGAGGGATGGGAAGGCAATGGGGGGATAAAGACACATATGTAATACCTTAATCCAGTGGTCGGCAAACTTTGGCTCACGAGCTGAGGTTTGCAGGTCTGTTGAATAATGAGTTTGCCGACCACTGGAATAGGGGCTTAATCACAAGGAACAACAACAGCCTGTAATTATTGGAATCGAGAGTCTAGGTCAGTGGTCGGCAAACTCATTAGTCAACAGATTGGCAAGCTACAGCTTGAGAGCTGCAGTTTGCCGAACACTGCCTTAATCAATAATAATAAAAATAAGAATCAACTGATGAATATGCAAATAAGTAAAACAAATCAATGCTTCTCTCTCTCTCTCACTCTCTCTCTCTCTCTCTCCCCTCCCCACACACACACTTCTCTTCCCTCCTCAAATCATTTTTTTTTTTTAAAAGAAATAAGGTTATTTTAAGGAGATGGTGCCATGCCCAGAGTCACAGTAGCCTATATTCAAAGACCTGGCTCCCAATGGCTTCCAGGAAACAGATTACACAGGGGAAATCATTAGTCATGGTGACTAATGGAGTTTGGGTCATGAGCACTAGGGTAGGGATAGTTGATCATTGCAACTGGTCCTGATGTCCGCCATGGCATTGCTCCGTCTGGTGTCACAAGGATACAGTCAGGGGGGCGGGGGGGTGGGGGTGGACATGTGGGAACACACAACTAGATGTTATCTCTAGTTTGACCAGAACTCTGTCCTTGTGGTCAACAGACCCAAGACTTTGTTTCTAGGACTACTGGATGCTGAGGGCTTAACGACTAAGGGGGGGGATGGGGGGAAGCCTGAGTCTGGGCATTAGGTGAGGCCAGTTTGAGTCAAAAGGAAAAAAAAAATCAAAATAAAGAGCAGATGAAAAAAAAAAAAAAATGAAGGTTCCTGTGTGGTTACACTTTAATATTCAAGGAATCAAAAATAATGTTCTATCTTCACAAGAAACCAGCAATTTATCCTCAATGACTAAGATGCAGCAGGAAGCTGGAGGGACAGACCAAGGCAAGATTTCACATGAGTTTTCTCACAGGAAAGGAGCAGCAAGACTTGCCACTCTGCAATAAAGACTAAAGAACCAGAGGATAAAGAAAAGACTTGGTTACAACCAAACAGTCAATGGGGTCCAGGGATATCCTCTGGTTAAGAGTGATTATGTCAGCATGCTACCAATAACCCCTGCTACGTCTTACAAATTCTGCAAGATTTAGTCATGTTTCCTATCTGGTAAATTACTCTAAAAAGGCATATTTCAATTCTATGATCCCTAGAAATATTCCAACAACCTTTAAGAGCCATCTCTTTTGAACCTAGACCATGTAGGTGCTTATATCAATAGAAGCAATAAATGTAAGTAACACATTTCTGGCTTATTTTTTATTATTTTTTTTAATGCATCAGTGATTTAACAATTATTTTCTCCTATCTATTTTATTTTGGTATTTTAGAAAAATATTGGATGGGTTAGTTTCAAAGTTACCATTCTCATTTCACAATTGTGTTCCAATAATAGTCCTGGTAACACAGGAAGGTTCTGATACTGGATCCCATCTTCCTTTGTAGGAAACCATGCAGCTACCACAGCCGGATGCGGAGCTGTGATATGGCTCCACTTTCCTAGCAGGAGTCACACAGCACAGGTTCAGGGAAACCTAATCCTGCTCATAATGGGGTTGTCAAAAGTAAGTCAAAACCCCTTTTCCAAGGTGAGACAATGATCCTATTTGGCAGTACTAATCAAGATACAGAGCCAGCATCTGCTTGACAACTAGGATATGATGTTCACAGACACTTGACAAAAAAAAAAATCTTCAGAGAAACAATGCCAGGTGCCCTCCCCATCAACTATAAAATAAGGCTATGACTTTCATTAAGCATATGGCATATACTGCCTTTCTGCTATTATGAGCTTTTATAAACTAGCCTCTATGACACTCTTTAACTGCCACTGTTTTCTTTTAAATCTGAAGGTACAAAAACAGTGAAATTAGGACTAATATTTTCCAATTATCTCTTAATTAGCATTAATGACACAAGTACACAGAAAGAAAAGGTAAGAAGTAAAAACATGGTAACAGATGACCACAAATATAATTTGTATTCGGCTTTGAAATATTATAAAATTATCTGATCGAGCACTTCTGGCTTCAACTTTGAGAAACGGTGCTTTATAATTAAATGCTATACCTGTATACTTATGGTTTGTTTCTCCATAGTACATGGACCTGCATGTGAGTGATCATTAGTACAAAAAACATGCCAGGCTTAGAACATTACAGTTGTTCTCCCTAAAATTTATTGAAAGTCAAGGAGTGTAACTCCTGAGAGTGGAGAAGGAAGACACATGAAGAGGCAGACAGAAAACCACCCAAGAGAATGACAACTATTCCAACCCACCTTGTTGACATTAGGGCTAATCAGCTTCCATTCCCAGGCCAGAGACCAGCCTCCATTTTCCTACTGCTACACTAGATCCCAATTCTAGATGTCAGGATCACTTCCCCGTAGCACAGAGGTGACAAGCAGCAGCCTCTCCAAGTATCATCGTGAACTAACCATCCACCCCTCTGTGCTAGGAACAGGCAGGAGGAGGCTGGAGGTTGTGGGAAAGGTGAGGAAAGGTAACTCAGTGCCTCAGGCTCCATGAAGATCCACTACAAGTTCCTCAACTGGCACAACCCTGCCCATCCCACAGCTGAACTGGCAACAGCAAAAGGATGCTCCCATTTATGGCCCATTCTGTGCCAGCTACATTGCGTTGGTGTTCTTGAAGCCCTAGGTCTATAAATCTGGGACATGTAATCGGAAGCCGGTCAATTACAGATTCGAATTCAGAACAAACTGATAAGGTCTTGATAATGTACAATACTTAATAAAGCTGGGAAATGTTTACATCGACTTTAAGACCATTTCTTCAGCCCAGCATATACCAAAAGGGCATCATAACCTACCTCCGTTGGTCCTATTTGGTTGCTGATCTGGAGTTTGGGCTTGAGGTGAGTAACACTGCTGCTGCTGGTAACTATTGGAAGGGAAATACTGGGAACTGGGGCTCCTCCTACATTCCCGAATGCTGGAGAAAGTCTGTGAATGGGGGATTCCTCTTTGGAAAGGTGAGCATCTTGGAAGACGGGGCTGAGGTGGTGGCAAATGGTCAAATTCTTCCTCATCCTCTAAACTGAATCGGTCATATTCTTGGTCACTACATGTCCCTTTCTTTCCTGAACTCAATGACACACTGGAACTGTGTCTTGACACGGATGCTGACGTGGAAGCATAATCTTGCCTGAGACCTAAAAAATAATAAGAAATAGTATTATCATTGGAGATATTTCAATCTAGCAAAAATTAAGTACAAATATTAGAGTAAATTTTGTGCCAAATACTGTATTTTCCGGCATATAAGACGACCCCCTAATTTTACAGTTAAAACATAGGTTTAGGCCTATATTCACTGTATAAGACTACTCCCCCACTTCCGAGGCAACACCAGTTCTTTTTTTAATAGACCGCCTCTCTGACTCTGGCCAATCTGAGCAGGCTTTTTACTAGAACACAGTGTAGCTTCGGATACAGAACATGTGTAATTTGCATGCATAAAAAGCCTGCTTGGATTGGCTGAGTTAGAGAGGCGGTCTATTAAAAAAAGAACTGCTGTTGCCTAGGAAGTGGGGGGTAGTCTTATACAGCGAATATAGGTCTAAACCTGTGTTTTAACTGTAAAATTAGGGGGTCGTCTTATACGCCGGAAAATACAGTAATTCAGAGACCCATTATCTTATTCTTAGTTTATTAAAATACTAGAGGCCCAATGCACGAAATTTGTGCACAGGGATGAGGGAATCCCTCAGTCCGGCCTGAGCCCTCTTGCAATCCAAGACCCCTTGGGAGAAGTCTGACTGCTGGTTTAGGCCTGACTGGATAGGAGCCAGGGATCTTGCAATCCAGGATCCCTGGCTCCTATCTGCCAGCCTGCTAGCTCCTTACCACTTGGCATTCTGCTCCTTAGTGCTGCCACCAGTGCTGCGCTCATCAGCTGTGAGCCCAACTTCTGGCTGAGTGGTGCTCCAGCTGTGGGATTGCACTGACCACCAGGGAGCAGCTCCTGCATTGAGCATCTGCCCCCTGGTGGTCAGTGTGCATCATAGTGACCAGTCGTTCTTATCATTCTGCCATTAACAGTCACTGGGCTTTTATTATATAGATTAGACTATTCTGTTTTGGAAAAAGATTGCCACAATTCAGTGAAAATTAAATACAGTACCTACTGCTATAATTTATCAATCAATGCCTGTCAATTTCCCCAAAGATCCTTTCTGAACTCCAGAGATACTTAGAAAGGCTGCTTGGGAAATAGTATTCATCATGCTTATAAACTGTTTGCTATGAGTTAGGCAATTAATCAAATCTCTGCCCAAACAGGAACTCCTCCTGCTCCCCACCCCAACTCTCAAATCAGCAAAACCTGTGGTATTTTCTAACAAGGTCGCCTCTTATCCGTACTTTTTCAAAGCATAGTGACATTTCAATATCACAATGGTTTGGGGTCATCCTAAACGATAGCTATCTAAAAATAGTTAACTTAAGTTTCTTAACTTCTAAAAACTGACATCTAAATTTTTTAGCCATATAGACGAAGAAAGAGTTAGTATTAGTTTACTGTTACTAAATAATGACCAAAAAAATCACTTTTCCCTCAAAATGTACCTTATTAAACCCTGCATAAGCATTATCATGTTTCCCATAGTAGCCTTGACTGATTCTGAAACCAGGAAACTGTTACACTTAAATGATAGTTGGCTGTTTCTACTTATGTTGACCTGAAAAGATAACTGCAAAACAAGCTTAGCCAGGTTCTGTGATCTACGTTGTACTGCGCATTTTTCTGCCATAAATATCCTTGAAGTGTTCACTCCCAGATTATTTATTGTAACTTTATTGCAGAACCATGGATAAATTGTCCCATTCCCAATGATCTCTTCTTCCATAATTATTTATTCTGAAAAGTACACCATATGCATTTAACTGATTGTTTTATTGATAACTATAGACTCACATGAAGTTCTATAGAAATAAAACAGGGTTCTCTTGCCACTTTGTCCAGTTCTCTCAATGGTAACATTTTGCAAAATTATAGAATAACATGATAACCAGAACACTGGCAGTGATACAAACCCATCTTAAGTGTTTCTGGTTCTACTAATGCATGCTTATAAGTGTTGGTATTAAGTTTTCTACAATTACCACCTGTAGGATCAAGTGCCTACCACCAGTGTCAAAATACTGAACAAACTGTTCCAAAATCCCCTAGAGACCCCTTGTGTTGCCCTTTTATAACTACATCCACCTTCCTCCTGAGATACACCGTACCCCTAACCTGAGCAACCACTAAACTGCTCACTTCTAAGATTTTGTCATTCCAAAATGCTATATAAATGGAACTGTTATACAGTATACAACCTCTTGGAATGATCTTTTTTTCCACTGAGTGTAATTCCCTGAAGATTGACCCATGGTGGTGCATGAATCGATGGTTCATTAATTTTTATTGGTGAGTAGTGCTCCAGGACATGCAGATACCACTGTTTGATTAACCATTCCCCTATTGAGACATCTGAGTTCATTCTAGGTGTTGGTTTTTACAAACAGCTCCTGCGAATGTTCTGTAAAGGTTTTTGTGTGAACACAAATTCCCACTGCTCTATGGTAAATTCCCAGAGTGAAACATGCTGGGCCTTGTGGAATTCATGGGTTTGGTTCTAAAAAAGTTGTCAAACTGTTTCCACAGTGGCCATCCCAGCACCGGTCTTTGTGTCCGTGCATTTTGGTCATGTCCTAACACCTTATAATGCTCATGAGAATGTGAGAAACATGAACTGCTCCATCTACAAAGCAAGGCAGTATGAGAGAAAGGACCTAAGTGTTTGCCCATTACCTGGGAAGAAATACCTGAAAACTCCCCATGCCCTCACAGTTCAAGGAGAAGCCCCTAGTTTAAAATGTGTTCTGGTCTAAAAAAACAACAACAACGTACTTTCTTCTTGCAGACGAGCCATGATCTGCACGTCAGTGAGGTCCTGCAGCTTGTACCCCATGGAGATGGAGTCGTCCTCCAGTTCTGAAGTGCTCAGCTCGCTGTCTATGGACGACTGGGGGCTGAGAGGGGAGCCCCTGGAGGTGTAACCTAAAAACAAAGGATGTAGGTTTATCGTTTAGACTAAAGAACTGATATCTATTCATGCTTTATAGTTCATGTTATCGACAATCGCCAGTTTCTGCCCTGTTTACATGTCACCCAAAAGCGACCAGGAAAAGAGATCTCCTGTTGTGCATGTGTGTGTGTGTTTTTTTGTGTTTTTTTTTTTTTACCACAATAAGAAAGGAAATCATCAATGCTAAAATCTGAATTCCATTAGATAAGCATATATCTGAATGCATTATATAAGTACATATCCATGTTCACTTTAATAATCAGATATGCTTGTCTCAGTAGTAATTATTCTGTATTTTAAAATTAACATTTAACCCAGCCCATTTTTTAAACAGTTACAAACAACAGTGTTACAAATAAGCAAGAATATCACATATAAAAAGCACTCATCCATACACAGAAACATTTATGAAACCTGTGAAATTTAGTGTAGAGCAGTCAGGAGACTGGTAGTCACTCCTGAGAGTGGAAAAGCAATGGCTCAAGACAAGAGAACAAGGAAGATAGGACCCAAAGGGAGGAAGCTGCAGGAATGCAATGTTCATCTCATAAAGAGCAACTATGTCTACTTTCTATGAGCTCTGGCTGCATAAAAAGCTACAATAAAAAGCTAAAAATTTTAAAAGAACAAGATATAAGTCCTTATATTCTTGAATCTTAATAAAAAGTGCTGAATTGTTTGACATTTCATTTGAAAAGCACACTAGGCACTTGGAAACACGTTAATTATATCCATATACTGTTGACAATGAGGGCAGACTGATTGCTGATCACACCCAACGGAGAGCAGATTAATGGTGTTAAAGTACAAATTAACATTAGCCTTTTTCATATCCAAAGTAAGTGCAACAAAATTCTTCATATAAGATTACCTCAAGCTTTCCAACAAAAGATGGGATATTTAAGCTGAGTTTAGTAACTAAGAACAAGAAAGCAAGCAGCTAGTCGAGAAGTTGAAGGATTACCTGTTCTTTCAGGTGTTAGTATTGCTTTATTTGAGGTTTTAGAGAAGCTGGGAGTATTAATGCCATTGCTATAAGGGCTGAGTCTTGCAACAGGACTATAAGGAAAAGCCAGGGAGACATTTGAAGAGAAGAGACTCCGCCATCGGCTGGCTGTCACAGAAGCAGAAAAAAAACAGCAGCAGTTAGCAATATGAAGCAGAATGTGGTTTGTCAGAGGAAGGAAGGGAAGAGGTTAAAAAAAAAGACAAAAGAGCAACTTTTCATTAGAATAAGTTAACTGACTTCTATTTAAGGGAAAATACGTTGAAATAAAAAGCAATTTGTGAATGAGGGTCATGTTTATACCTCCTTTGAGAAGAAGTAAATCAGCCTCACCTTCGTAAAGCCAACATGCCCATATAACAAGAAAAATGTGTTTTGAAAAACCTCAAAGAAACTTACCATCTTTACAAACTGTAGGAAATATTCTTAATATTAACCATACACAGTCTTATGTTCTTCCTAAAGTTAATTTGTCAACCCATTTAATATCAGAAAATGTTAATAACATTTTTTATAAAAACTTATTAAACTATGGAAGAAACCTGAAGTGACTCTTGTGTTTCTAAATGGCCTTCATCCATATAAGACTTACACAAAAGTGATACAAAAATCACAGAAGGGTACATACGGCAAAATTTAATGACTGCTAGTTTTCATGGCAAGTATGGAGACTAATTGGTGATCTATTGGATTTTTCCTTTTTATAAAAATATTCCCCATATTTCCATATTGAACACATACTATTCCTATATCTAAAGGTAGAATTATACATTCATTAATACTACAAAACAGGGAACAAAAAGGATTTTATCTGCAATGGTTAGATTATCTAATGCTTACTTTATCTCACCTGGCTAGTTAGTGTGTTTCCCTCCTCCAAAATCACCAAGCCCTTGTTATTTCTAAGTGCTTGGGATCATGAAAAATACCCCAACTGTACAAATTTGAATAAGTCACATGAAACATCACTTCTTCTCCCTTCAAGGAATACAAATGACTGCACTAGTCAAAATCCAATTTCCTAAAAAGCAACCATTTAGACATGTACACAAGCAGGATGAGAAAAGTAAATTAAAAAATATAAATTTGGTTAAACTTCATCTTTAGGCAATGAAGATGTTTATATTTGCTGGAAATTTGACAAAACTTGAAAAACATATAAAAAGGACTGCTCTGAAATGTGTTCCCCAAATCACGTTTAATAAGCAATGCTAATGAGTAAACAGTTAGCAAGTATTTAAAAACGGGAAGGAGGGTGGAAAGATAGAAACCATGGGAGTTAGTTTGTCAAGAAAATAATCAGTTCCAAAATTGGAGTCTTTGCAATTAAGACCCTTGCAAAACATCACCCAGGTTATATTTTAAAAGAGCGAAATGTTTCCTTTTATTTCAGCATTTCAGCAAGCACTGCTGAGATTTAAATACCATCCTTTTACAACAACTACCTTTTCCTCACGTAGGTGAAAGAACTAGGCAAGCAAGCGTCTACATTCACTGTGATTATGCTTTCAGAATTCGTAAGTTTCATGGAGGGGACACTACCTGAAGCCTCGTTCCTAACTGACACCAATCATGTCACGTATCCAACACGTAATTAATAGTGCTTAAGCAGCCCTTCTTAAGCTGAGCCAGAGCACAGATATGCAGAGTGGGCACTCTCAGCTCCTTACCTTCTGGGTATGTAAATGTGATTCCAAAATACACTGAAAAACAGGGGTTAATATGCAACACACACTTGGTAGCTGTTCTCACAGCTTCAATCTCCATTACTCGAAGTTTCTCATTAAAAATTCCATGTGGAAAGAAATCAATCGTTCTTTGTGACTACTAACTTGCCAAACAGATAATGTTATTTTATACCAGTCTGATCACTCGCCAAGCAAATTACAGTGACTGTGTGTTGTCACCCACAGATGCAGACAACATCGCATCCCAAGAAAACAGCATTCATCGCTCTGCACAGTAACCACTGTGACAGCCTCCCAGCACAATGGCACAGTGATTGTGACTATGATGACAGCAAGAGCCCAACCAACCACACAATTAGCATCTATTGCAAGAGTGAACGCTGCGCATTGTCCTTTGGCATGGAGGCTTTTAAGAAGAGGGAGGAGCATTATTGTGGAGGCAAGCTAAGAAAGCAACCATGCTACATTAGTGCCCAAGGTTGCGGTGGAGGAGTGGAGAAGGAAGTGGAAACTGGCACATCCTACTTATTCTTCTCTGGGTAGCTGAAGAACTGTAACAGGAAGCATCTTTATGGAAAATAAAACAAAAAGAACTTTTCATAGGGCAAAATTATTTTCCAATCATTGTTTTATATAAGGACATTAAAATTTTTGATAGGTCCAATGATGATCAAAATTATCCTAAGAAAGACTTTACTAAAGGAGAGAATGGGTAATAAATTTCTGAACAGCAGGATTTTACTATCCTCCTACACCAAAGTTCTAGCTATGGGTAAAGGGCTTCTCATACTTGGAGGGGGCATGACTATGTATTTTTCATTTACTTGCAACCCCTGGAACAGCAGAGAGTTGGGCCCAAACATAAGGATATAAATTTCATATCACTCTTGGCAAGGCTTTCTTTCCCAAATGCCTGAGGTTAAACTGCCTCTCAGAACACTGCTTTCTCTACGGTTGCACTGTAACTTCCTGAAGACTCTCGCCACCTCTCACCAGGTTACTGCAACCTGTTCCTCAGTGAAGTCTCCACCACAGCACTGCCTCACCAAGACTGTCTGAACATCACTACCAAAGCTGTGCTGGCCATATATTATTTTTTAATTCTTAATCTTTATTGCTGAAGTATTGCAGATGTCCCCCTTTCCCTCCCTCATTACCCCATCCACCCGGCTCCCTTCCCACCCCACACCTTCACCACACTGTCTGTGGCCATGGATTATGCAGATAAGTTCTTTGGTTAATCTCTTCCGGCCTGAGATTTGTCAGTCTCATCCATGCTTCCATGTCTCTGGATTTATTTTGTTCATCATTTTATTTTGTTCATTAGATCCCACATAAAAGTGAGATCATATGTGATTCTTGTCTTCCTCTGCCTGGCTTATTTCACTTAACATTAATACTCTCCTGGTCCCTCCCTGCTGCCTCAAAGGGTAAGAGATCCTTCTTTTGTACAGCTGCCTAGTATTCCATTGTGTAAATGTACATATCTTGTGTATCCACTCACCTACTGAGGGGTACTTGGATTCTTTCCAGATCTCCACTATTATCAATAACACTGCTATGAACATAGGGGTGCATATATTCTTTCAGACTGTTGTTTCGTTTTCTATTCTTTTAACTCTTACTTTCTTCCATTAAGTACTACAGTGGCTTTTCATCAAACACAAGATGTAAAGGTACTGCAGATCATCTCACTGTGCACTCTAATCTACTGCCATGTATTCCATGTCCACCTTCACAGTGTTTCTGAAACTTCCTTGCTAAGAATTATACTCATGTATGCATAACCTGTGGACACAGACAATAGAGTAGTGAAGGCCTAGGGTGGGAAGTAGGGGCAGGCTAGAAAAGGTCAATGGCAGTAAAAAGGGGACATATGTAATACCTTCAATAATAAATATTTAAAATAAATTCAAAAGATGTAAAAAATATATATACTCATATAGTTTAAGCTTTCTAACTTTGTCTCTTTTGCCTAATTAGCATTTCTTATCAAGATAAATGTTGTAAATCATTAAGGTGTGCAATTGTCAAGATTTTGAACACATCTAACATTTATTGATTATACACTGTGTGCCAGACATTGTGTCTGTTAGATACTGAACTAGCTGTTTCTAACTATGAGAAAAGTGAAAACAACTGACTCCAGAATGTTAGAATGTTGCTTTATTTTTTAACTCTTTTATCAAAAGGTCAGTACTACATCAACCTAAGATTTTCACTCAATCAGTTATTTTTCCTTGTATTTGTATTATATACTGCTTTCTTACGTTTGATTTTGATTACCTGCAGGGACTACACAACAAAAACTTTGAATATTTACTGTGAATATTTATTGTATTCACTACGAGTCTAGGCAAAGATGATCAAGACATGTTAGGAAAGTCATTGCTTCTTAAAACATTGTGTGTGTGTGTGTGTGTGTGTGTGGCCAAAAGAATAATTTTTAGTGTGGAGAATTAAAGAAATTTAGATTCTTTCTTAAACGGATGTCACCTGGCCTTTGTGATTTTTCATCACTTGATAGTATCATCACTGATGCATTTATCAAATCCATTTTGGAAGGTGCTACTTTGCTTAATGATATACAAAAATAACTACATAGATATGTTATTTATTTTCAGGCCAGGCAACTTTGAAAGTGAATAGACAATAAATTAATAGACCATTAGACACTTTTAGCAAATGTATTCTGTAAAGGGACAGCTAGTAAATATTTCAGGTTCGCTGGCCACATGATCTCTGGTGCAACTACTCAACTCTGCCGCCACAGCAACCGCAGACAATCCAGAAATGAAGGAACCTAGCTATGCTCCAGTAAAGCTTTAATTATACAGAATTAGAGCTGAATTTCGTAAAAAGTATGGGCCATAAAATATTCTTTTGATTTTGTTTTCAACCACTTAATAATGTGAAAGGGGCCATGCAAGAATAGGCAGAAGGCCAGATATGGCTATAGTTTGCCAACCCTTGGACTAACATACAGACCAATTTTATGACATTCACTCTGAAACATGCACAGGACTAGAATTTTAGTGCAAGGGTGTATGTCAGGTGTCTAGACATTACAATGATGGCCGATAGCATACTTCTTTACTGCAATTTTTCATAACATTCTTATAATAAAAGACCAAGAAGAGACCCTAGATTGAAAATGCAGATAACCAGAGCTCCACTCTCCATCCTGCCACATACTGATTCGAAAAGTTGGAACTTGACAAGGTAGGAACTTATTGTTGAAGTGTTCTCATTAAAAAAAAAAAAAAAAAGTGTTTGTCAGAGGATAATAAGCAAGCCTGTGGTTAATATTAAGACAAGTTTGCAGCATGCATTCTCAAACTATAAAGCAGTTTTTAAAAACTACTTAAAAGTTACAGCTAGTTGAAGCAAAAATCCTATATAATAAAACCCCTAATATGC